AAGGGAAACCAGAGTTGAGTAGTTGAAAGATGTGGACCATTTTCTTTTGAGGGAGTGAAAACTGAAGATTTCATTCAATGAATTGTTGTGCCTATAATATTTTGAAAGCTTAGACGTTGATTTATCGTGTTACCTGTATCCTTGATATTATAGTTATTTCAAGTACGAGTCATCCGTGCTGATTTAAAATCCACAATTTACATTTGGTGACCAAGAGGCCCAAACAACCATGGTTGCCTCCACAAATTTGTTGCAACTTGAGTACATGAACGTTGCTGTAATGAAACACGCACGAAACCTATTTCCATGTTATGAAAACAACGTGTTCCATTGAATTTCGGGAAAAACGGGAATATTAAAGTCTGCTTCAAGGTCTTTCTGAAGGTTTTCCCGGTGACAAATCTTTTCAGTCCAGTTCAGCAAAGTTGGAAACCAGGCAAACCATGTCTTTTCTTTTTAAGATCTTAAACCATCCATAGAATTTAAAACCAAGACCCCTTTGCTGTTTGTCAAGGTATTCTCCCGTTACAGTATATATCTGAGTTGAGAGGATTTTTATTTATCAATGGACTAAAACGATAATTTCTAGTGAATAATTGTCACAGTCCGATTGACCGCTCTAGCTACAATGAATAGCCATTTTTTAAGACTCTCATAACTACAAGCATACTAACAAACAATTAATTACGAGTCATTATCGTTATCATGCAACATTCTCTTACATCAGTTAGCTTGTTTCAAGGAACACTGTATGTGGCGGACGTCAGTGTAACTTATAAAGGCAGTGGAAAAAGGAAGAAAAATCAATTTTATGATTCTTTCTGCCATATTTTGGCATTTGAAAGGCTAGAGGAAGCATTCTTTCTTTTCCTGTTCTTTCGGCTGATTAAGAAACTACTCTTGGAATTTATGCCAGAAACACCCTCAAAAATGTTATTCTACAGAACTTCAGTTGTCAGAAAATATAATTGCACTCTAACCCTCATGGTTGTACTATGTAACTACTAATTAGATGAGGTAATTGCATTAATTCTATCAATTAAATTTTCAGACGGGTATTAACCCACCCGGCAAGGTTATATCCTCTAAATTATGTTTGATTATCAGCCTTGAATATAATTACAGTTAATTGACAACCCGCTACAAGTGATAACCTTCTAAGATGTGAAATCTTTAAGTGTCAACAGCTTGAGTAAACGAGCCACTTGGTCCTGCGTTATCAATCAACGACCTTACAAGTCAATTGCATGTTTTAACAACTCGCGTGCATAGCCTAATCGGAAAATACGATTTTCTTTTTTTTTTTTTTTCCTCTCATGGAGAGCATCTTCAAGGGATTGAACTTTGTGACTTGCTTACGTTTTTGGTAACCAAACCAGCGGAAGAGCTTATTAATTTCTGGAGTATTTAACACTTCCCCAAAATCCCCTACACACATACCCAAGTCGATGATTCTTCGCAGAAACTGAAGATTTTTCGTTTGCAAACTTTAGAAAGATTGGAAGAAATAGATTTATGAAAACTTGTAGACAAACTGTTTAAAAAAATGCATGGTCACGAAAGGCAATCAGCAGAGCGTTCACGAAGCGACGGACCGAAATCATTCGAGGCCGGCAACCTCTGGTAAAATGAATGACTTCATGTTGGCAACCGACTCGATTTTCTCTTAATCTTGAAAATTGATTCAAACAATGAAAGCACAAAGTCACTGCACTTTCCTATCAGTCACGGAGAGCTAGTCGACAAAAGTTAAAGAACGTGTGTACTACGTTCTTTCACCCACTCTTGTCGCGTCTATGTTTTATCTTTCAAGCGCTGTCCGAGGACACCCCACAGAGAAACCTTTGAAAAGACGAATGGTCGATTATTTTTTTCCAACCGAAGACGCTTGGTAAAAGATGGCGAACAGTGAGAGGGCGTAAGAAAACGCAACACGACTGCTATCCATCTGCTAAGCCACGCAAAGAACTCCCTCAAAATAACCCTTTAAGAATACAATATAGTTAGAAAATATCTTACGTTTGAATTCTCGAGGCTGTCAGATACCTTTTTGGTATTCCCACCATTATTCGGTGAGGTTTGTACCACCGAGGGTCTTGTCGAACTCACAGTTGGTGAAGCGATCTCGAATTGGAGACTAAACAGAAAAGTCACTGTAACAATGACCACATAGCGAACAACACTAGGATATTTAAGATTCAACATCTTCCCGCAGAGAGCTCTTCACAAAGGCGGTGCAAAATAGACTGGTCTCAAATGCAACGAGGCGCTAAATTTATGGGTAATTGGGTAAGGCACGGGAGGTCGGAAAATGAAGAAATTTAATATTGGTATTTCCCTTTAAGGTGAAGGTCGCATTGATACCATCGATTTCTCAGGTGGATTTGGTCATTGATACGGGACGGTCACAAAAAAAGTAAGTGATTTGGATTTAATGGTGAAACGTCGGGATTCCTTTGGTGTTGAAATCTGCTACGTGCCCTTTGGTGCACATCTGTGAGCTATTTTATGGATGGCATTTTTTTGCGCCACAACTCGCGCCCAGCTTTCGTTCATAGTCAATAATGTTGCTAAAAGAAGCCGCAGAATTTGTTAAAGCCTTGTGGACCTGAAATTGTTACTTGTTTAGATAAAACAACATCTGTTTTTGTTCAAACCCCGCCCAACAAATTATCATTAGGACTTCTGTTAGGTCGGTGATCACATTTGTAATTGGTGGGGAGGAGCCCAGCTATCGATCGACACATGGTTGTTGTGAAATGCCGATGCGTACGATGATTGCTTTGATGAGCACGTTTCTGTCCTACTCCAAATATTTTGCCCTTGTTTATGATTTCGTATATGGGAGAATAGCAAGAACTTTATCTGCGTGAGGAAACGTCATCGCAGAAACAATTTGTCTTGTTAACTTAAGTTGTGTTCTTCAGGCAAAGAATAGTACTTCATCAACTTACATTGATGAAAAACAGTCTTTCTTTCACCATAATATTAAAAGCTCCTCTAATGAATGAACTGTTTGTTTGTTAACTGTTTTATTTCCGACCGCAACTTGTACGTTTTTCCAGGAGAACAATTTTTCATGTACATCTGAGAAATACTGAATGTTGTGAATTACGAAAATATGGCTTATATCACTGGGACACGTTAAATACGAAATTTATTTGTGGTAACAGGGGGTCAAGATGGTTTCCTCGTGTTTATCATTGTTTTTCTAGAATTCATGCTTAGTTTATTTCTTCCAATTTTAAAGTTTTGTTCATGTTGATTAGTCGGTGTTACTGTTGTTTGTTACGTATTACACGAAACTTAAGAGAGACTCGCAGCAGGCTGAAGTTAAAAAAATAACTAAAACAAGTGTCTTACCGAGCTTAAGGGGTTGCGATTTCTTCTTGTTCCTGAGGGCTTTTTCGCACATGAGACACTATTGGTTAATTCCAGCAACAGTAAAAACACGAAGATTAACCTTATTTGCATGTTGTCGTTGGAATATCAGTCAACCTAAAAGTAGCAAACAAATGGTTTTATTCGCGTTAATTTTGATCAGATTTGCACCACACATGTTACAAAGTCGCACATCCAAACTCAACCACGCGTGTGACCACGAAATGAAGTATGCGTAACTTACCTTATTCTAAAAATATCCGTGGTTTTCCTTGCGCAGTTGCTATGATTACAGGTCTTCTTAAAGGCTGGTTTAAGAATACTTGTACGATTAACACCGATCCGATGGTCTCTGGTGGCAGCTGTAAAGTTAACACCCGCGAGATAAATTACTACAAATGGATACAAATGAGCTTCTGACAGGGAAATACGTTGTTTTATACTCCCGCCGACCCGTTGATGATGCGTCTATCAAACCCTGGAATCGAGACTACTGACAACCAATGGTAATGCGCAAACAGAGCAGAGTGTCATTCAAAGAGGAACCTCTTAGTATTCCTGTGAACGATATGGAAGGCCTGTTGACAGATAAAACGAGTGCGCCTGATTTGCGGTACCTTTGCAATGAAATACGGCCGTGTCCAAGAGGAAATACCCGGGGCTGCGAGCATGAATTTCTGTCTCAATGTTCTATTGTGTTGTGTCATTGTTCTGGAATATTTCATTTATTCAGCAGTTTTGGTAAACACCCTCAAAATTGGTTTAGAGAGTTCAAAGATGTCGACACGACTTCCGGCTGGAATGTAATAATCGCTGACCGCAGACTTCAGCAGCAAGTAAGGATAGCGTGGGCTTAACCTAGGGAACATCAATTCACAAACATGAGCAGGATAAGTCCTTTAGGGGCTGAAAATCTTTATGTAATGTAAATCAACACGCAAGCTAAACATTCTCACCTTTTTTGTATTTTTATTCTGTCTTGTTGCATACATGTAATTTAGGGCAAACGTAGTTTGACTTAACGTCTTAAGAAAAGTAAAAATCTTTTTTAAGACTTTCTTAGAGGGCATTTTCAGTCCGTAGTTTTCCTTTTAAGCCGTTTCAGAGAAGCAACCCTGAACTTCCGTTCATCACTATTTCCTCGACCACAAAACTACCCTCGCACGATCAAAATTTGTTTTGAATAAGTCAAAACTAATCATCCTTAAGAGTGTTCCAATATTGTGATGGTAAATATCCTACTCAGTGAAATCAAATCTAAAATGTTAAGTGACCATTTTGAGAAAAGATCTTACTCAATAAGTTGCTCTTCCTACGCGATAGAAGAGAGAAGTTCCATCTTTACTGTGTCTTGACTTTACCTGAATAAAGTCTGCAACTTCTCGAGTGGAACTGCCGCACTAATCCCACTTTTGAGCTTAGCTCTTTGAAATAATCAGTAGCCAAGGTGTGAAAATAAGGCTCCACGTGGTTAAATTAGTTCTAGGAACACTAATTATAAACAACATGTGAATAAGGAGGTGCTTGATACTACAATACTTTTTCCTTGTTTTCAGCTGTAAATGTTTTAACACAATAGTTTAAGCAATTCTAAGTACACTTGAAATAGAAAGCCATACTGAAACTGATAAAATACAGTTTATTTTTATACTCATATAAACAAACAAGGAATTTCGGAAAGTACATTCGGAAGCCTGAATCAACACAGCTATTTACTTTTGAATTACATTTAACTATTTGTTAGACATCATCAATCAGACCATGAGTCTGTTATAAATCAGAATTATTCTATTTACTTTCCGTCAAGTTACGTTACGAAATTAAAACGGTGACTCTTTATGTCAACGATTCTCATGCCTTACTCCAAACTGAGTGCATAGCTCTGGAAAGCACTCCTGAAAGGAAGAAATTAAAAAAGGATTGGGGTAAATTTAAATATGCCTCAGACGTTGCTAATCTTTGCAATCTTTAAGATGCCTGTCTCATATCAACCTACAGTATAGTTTGTGGTCCACAAATACCAACTAACTCACCAATGCTCAGCTTGTAGAGAATCTGCGAAAGTCTGAGGTTCTCACATGTCTGGAATTCTCTCACACTTTCTATTCCCAAGCTTGAGACCACCGTTCAAGATCTTTCTCTTTATAAAGGCCGTTTTAAATTTATGATAGGAAAGGCAATATCGGCGCATTTCTTGTGTTTTTGTGGTGCGACCTGTTTATCCTTTAGTAGCCGTTGGTCTGCTTTTTTCATCAATTTCCGCTGGAAAGCATTCCGCACGCATTTTACCATTTCTTAGTTCCTCTCAAGATGAAAGAGATAAAGAAAGGAATTGCTAATCAAAGAAGTTTCGATGCGAAACGTATCTCTCGGAGGTATAAAACGTATATCCATTGAAATTCTTGGGTGAAATTGACTCATCTGCATCATCTCTTTAATGCTGTTTTGAGTTTGAACAGTGCTAGCTTCACGTTCCTCTGTCATTTGAAGCATCACATTTACACGTTTTCGTCTCGAGTATTACACAGTCAAAGCTTCTTTTCACTGAGAAGTGTTACATGCATGACTAAGACCAATGAAACCTAATTTATTTAGGTCCACGAAGATTTGTCATAGATTTCACGAGCTTGGTGTGTAACAGTTTGTACCTCAAGAGAACCTTCTCTTCGGTACTTTTAAATTACCTGTAGTTCATTGTGTTTTTCTTTGTTGATTAACACCCGATTACCACAAAAGTTTGTCCATCGTAGCGAATTGCTATTCTTAGGTCATTTCTTCCCAAGAGCGCACCGATTTTGTTGTTTCACTCGAATAAGTCCAACACTCAGTTACGCTGTGGTGCCTAGTCATGGAAAACGCGATGCACTCTCAGCTCAGAATTGTGTCGGTTGATGGTAGTACACGTCCTTAACTGTCGATTGCGTGCAAGAAACGACATTGCTCTTTTTTTCCTCCAATATGACTCAGTTTCGCGGCGAACAGTAATGAGATGATACCCACACTAGGTTCAATGCATAGATATCAACTCTCTGTGAGCCTTTCCACCCCCTATGAAGACGGAGGTCAAAAACAGCTTAAACACAGTTACGTTCAATTTTATTTAACAGGGTACTTGTCAACTACTTTTCAGTTACATTGTCGTTATCATTCCCGTGGCCGCCATGGTGCAGACCATTGGACACTTTTGAGTTATTCAGCGATTCCTGAATAATATTTACACATTTTTTTGCATATGTTATCCCCAATGACAAAATTGTGCGCATTCTTTATTTAAAAAAGGTTACTAAAAGTAAATGTTTACAATTATGTCACGATTAATATGTACTTCACTTTCCTTTCCACAGAGATAAAAAATACCAGCAGCAATAAATCATGAGGTCCTCATATTCCGATTGGGTGTGGTTTTTGATCCTCTTTCGCCGTCTTGTTGGGAACCAATTAGAGTTTGAAATCTTGACCTTGACGTTTATGCTATGAGAAACGAAATACCCACCCTGTTAGGGAAAATGGATTGCTTTGAATTAAGGGATATTAAGAAAATCATAGCCTCGAGTGTTCTTTAGGGCACAAGGAGGATAAGTCAGTAAGTAAGTAAGTGAACATAAGAGCATCAGTGGTTGTCCAACAAGTGATGTGTCCTGTATCAGACCAACAAATATTCTCGAGCAACAGACAAAATTATGCAGCTTATTTTAATGACAAGAGTGATGATGCAATAACATACCTTTTGGGACAGGTTGAAACCCTACCTCTGTTTTTACATTTCTTCACCTTTCCGTGTTTTCCAACTCCGCCATTACAGCCCTTTCGGTCACAGTTTGCTTATACGTGCTTCCTTGGCGTTTGAATTTTCTGGAAAATTATTATTAATGGTGTCCTCCAATTCACAACAATTTTCAACGATCCCTGTTGCCGCACTTCTCCCAACTTGATTTAGAGAAGTTCTTCTGAAACGCAAGAAAATGCAACGCAAGAAATTTTGCCTCCAGAATTTTCCATTGCTAAAGAAGAGTTCAAAATTCGAACGCTAGTGGCTTCCCTGTTCCGGTTTTGTGCCACCCAGGTCAATCGCAACAAGAGCCATTTGCGGGGAAAGTATACAACAATACTCTCTTGGTTATAATTAGACTTTTACACAGACCGAAAAAAAAAAAAACATCAATGACCAATCGAAGAGATTACAGGAGATTAAATTATCTCGATCGGAATGCAGCGTGTCCTTTAAGAAACTCCAGACGAAGCGCATCTTGTCGAAAGTATAGACGAAAAAGAAAATAAGCTTATCGGCTTTCATTGTCTTTGCTTGATATGTTTCTGTCTTTATTTCTGTCCATAGAGAAACAATGAACACAAACTAAAACGCTTGTTACGAACTCTGCAAGGTTTTTATCGTTATGTTGCAGAAAGTAGCCTCATCAAGAACATTAAAATAAAATATAGCTCGCGCCATTTATTGGTTCGTTATTCTTATCTGATTTCATCACCGCAGATGGAATTGATGGTCCTTAGCGACAGATGCCGCTGCTCCAAAAAGTTGTGTTTGATACAAAACATTGAAAATCTCCGTCGGAAACAACACGAAATGACGAAGAAAGGAAACCTTAAAGGATTCATCTCCGATTTGTTGCCTTCTTTTACACCTTAGAAAGCTACCTCTGTCATCTTTGTAATTTAAATTTTATCTCGTTTCCCAACCTCAGAAAGTCGTCAACAATGACGACAGACGGTTTTCCTCTATGTCGGTTTGATCACTTATCTTATCTACAACTGGTGAGTGCATGTCTTATCAGCACGAAACTGAAAAATGGCTGGCGTTTATCCATCTGTAGTTTGTGAAATTACTTTCTAACGCCACGACCTCTTAATTAGTATTATCCCTGTCTAACGCAAATTAAGTTTATGCAGCTAATAAAGTTATGTATAAATAAATGTATACATATGCGCTAGCATCTCTAAATCATCCTAAAGCTACACAGGCAAAAGTCACACGTTACAATTCCTTGGATATCACTAAGAGGCGAGCAAGCTATGAGGTAAATTTAAAAGTATTATGGAGTGTAGAGTTACCTTTGTATGTTGAGGTAGAGAAAAAGTCAATTACTGTTTGGAAACCCGAGCTCTCTCCTCGGGTCTCCGGATTTTTTTATGCACTCTATGGTCCGCGAAATGTATATGTTTTTCACAACGATGGTATCCCAATTTGTTGTTTTAACTAACCTGAACTATAAAGCGGATTAGAATTTTAGAGATACTTATCGAAGAAACCACAAGTACGTCATTAGCGAGTTCAGGAACAGCGAAAAGAATGGAAAATTTTGTGAACAAGTTTCCGGTTTTTAAGCCTCTAATGTCATGGTAGGTACTACGGCAATGAGAATTCAAGCCGATAAAATATTTCAAAATTTCAGGGTGAGATACTTGCATTCCTTGTATATTTTGGCGAAGTAATTAAGTCTGAGTGTTTGCAAGTTTGCACTTCTCTTTCAAGGCAAGTCGCCAAGTTTGGAAAGTACTTCGAGGAATTAGCATTCCTTTAAGGAGAAGTGAGCCCACTTTTTTTCAGTCAGCGTTTTGTTGCCATGTAACGTCGGTCAGCTAGAGAGAAGGTAGTAGTGTGTGCCAATTTTTATTTTGGGTGAGGACATAGTTGTCCAGTGTATCTAGTAACATTTATTGCTTGTTTTAAAGCTTTTAACTGGAATCTAGCTTCTTCACCTTGCTGAAACGTAATCGGTTTGAAAAATGATGAGATGGGATTGAGGAACTCGAGAACAATTAACGACCTAGACAAGGAAAGCTCTCCTCAAAGGGTGTTGGTACATGCAGATGACATTCGTATCATGTTACCCTTTAAATGTTTTGACTGACTCTACATTTAAGAGCTGTAGATGCGTCGGCCAATATTTTTGCCAAACATGCTTGGAAATTTTGGATGTTTTGCCTAAAAAGGTGGAAAATCTAAAATATTAACTGACTGGCCTAAAAAGTGATACATATTTATCAAACGGGATGTCCGAACGGAAAGTATTATGCGGTTTCATTTGCCTAAATCCGTTAGCTCCAGAAATTCGGATACGTTCCGAAAGATTCTAGCTGAACGGGCGGCCAAAGTTCTAGGAAGCCATTGTAATTCTTTTCTTGTTTTTTATCTATTTATTTATTTGTTCTATGATGTCTCAATATTTAAACAATGACCTCGCCATTCCAAAAGTTTGAAAACACCACTAGATAAGTTGAATACTTTGTTTGCATGGTGTAAGCCTCTCTACCCCGTGAATTAGCTTAGTTTACCTGCAGTGCTTTCACAATGGGTGTCTCACTGGCATGCATACAAGTCTGCTTGGATGTCCTCTTACCAAGGACAGGCCGAAGTATAATATTTAGAGCTCAGAGATGGGTTAATGGTAAAACATCTAGACACAGGTGAAGGACCTGTTCGGAATTAAGCTAAGAATATAACAAAAAAGACTGAACCATTGAGAATGTTGCAGAGAAATAACTTGTTTTTGAGATATGAAACAAACATAATCATCGCCTTTTTTTTGAAGAGCAAAGATAACGCACTTGAGTCTCCGTTTTTTTCGATATGTAGGTTTTAAAATTAAGCAAAACTACAGATAGAAAATAAACAAATGTTGTCAGTATTTACAGACTATAATGATGCTGACAAGCAAGAAACTCGTCATATTTACATGAAAATGGGTTGTCGTGTTTCTGTGGCATTTTCAGGCGGTTGTCGGTGCTTTGAGACAAGACTTTCCCCCGGAGTTTGGGAATAAGCTGCTCGTCGATTATATTTTTTTGAATGCCCCTTATAGAAGGCTATATTCTGGATATCTCAGCGGTGACGTATTCCAATTTCGTCTCAAAGATATGTCATAGTATGAACAAAGGCGTAAACAAAAAACTTCCCTTTCTAATCTTTTTGAAAAGCAACCCAAGAACATTGACACATCGTCCTAGCCTTAACTTACCCCGGTCACAACCAGGTTTCAAATTGCTCTTAGGGGTCAGTATTTGCATGAAACAAATGTCTTTGAAAATAACTGCATTCACTGTTGAAAACAAATTCTAGTGAGGGAGTGTTTATTGCTGCAGCAGTTGACAAATTAGGAAAATTGACTCATCAAATTCGTTGGCTTACTTCGCCACTTCTTTTACCAGGGATCAATAAGAACATTAAGCAATCATTTAATCGGAAATAGACAATGTTTTAAACTAAATCCAACTGGGTCAGTTATTGCTTGGGACTAAAGCAAGCAAAGATTACAAAGAATTGAAGAAGATTCATTGCTCGTTCCATGTAATCGGATTGGTCAGTTTTGTGTAGGTGGCCCCTGTATAACAAAAGTCGCACTGCTAAAGACATGCAACAAAGGAAACTTCAGTTAATGCATTTAGCAAAAATTGAATACCCGTTTTTCTCAATTTATTATGGATACCTCACCACCTGTTTCTAAATCCCTGATTATTGCACACCAATATATCCGTTAATAGCCGAGAGCAATGAAGGCTGTAACGATTGGAATGAAGAACCTGTTCTCTCATTTCCTAAAGATAAATTGCAACCTTTCGCCAATTACAGCAGATTTTCCTTATCTGTGGCCCTTTTTTTTCTTATTTTTTTCTGTTCGATTCAATCCAAAACTCTTTGAAACTAGAGCCTATGGGGCGAAAGTTATCCACGTGAGAGACACATGAACTCGTCAACTAGATGTTATTGATACTTACGAGGACAAAAGCAAACAAAGGATGATACGATAAAGATTTAGACTTCAAGGATTCAGAACTTTCTTGAAACATGACCTCTCAAAGCTGTTGAGTATTACTAGAAGCTCTTGGTTTAGTAGATTATAAAATTACTTGCAATTTTTTTTTCCTATGGCTTACCAACTTTCAGTTCTATTTATGTGCTTATAATTGGATGAGATTAAAGTGAGCATCAAGAATTTCTCGGGGTGGTTTTTGTCTAACTGTCTCGCCTAATTTGGCCGGGGTGACCCGAATAGTGTAAGCCAAAAACTGAACACCTTTCCTTGAGAATATCAAACTGTTACATTGGTTACATGATATGCCAGTTACGTTCGACAAAACTGCTACAGAAAAATGGCTCCGTGGGACATCTGTCTCATTATTTTTGGAAACTAACCACAAGGAGACAAATGTACGAAAAGGTCAACGTCTGGAGTTTTAAGCCTGTAAAGATTTGATACTTATAGCTTCTTGGACATGATAGATCCATCAAAGTCAAGTTGTTTTCAACGCTTATGAAGTACTAAGCCTATTTAATTGAATCTCGTTACTTGCTCATCCATCATCCTAAATGTGCGTGATGTCTTTCTATTACCCACCGGAATCTTAAACATCTTTCTAATAAGCTCGAGTGTGCTTGACAGTAAAGGAAATCAGCTAAAGAGTTGCCAAAATATATGTTTAGTACTGTGACCCTAGCAGGACTCTTAGATTTCCAATGGGACCTCTCTCTTCACTCCTTTTTACCCAATAGTCACTTTGTTCTTCGGTATAACACTTTATTCGAGAAACGCTACTGTTTCGCTCTCAAAAGGTGACGGAAATGAGCCAGTGACTGAGAATGTGGTGTTTTTGTTTATTTTGGTAATGGATGAAAACCAAAAGAACCTAAAAACTAATTAAAACAATCAGCAGCCAAATCTAAATCAGTACATTCCTTCTGAAAAAAAAGGACATGAGCATAAAGATCACAGAGCAAAAGATCACGGAGCGGACAGATAACACAAAATTCCGAGTGAAGAGCTACAAATAGGATGATGAAAAGCACGCGCCTCATGCATAAATGCATTAAGGATGAAACAAGAAACATTATCTTTTTTTTTTTTTTGTCGTATCGACCTAGTCCTTCGCCGTTTGATTATAGCCAGTCGCAGTTTCGTGCACGCTTTATATCACTTTAAAGTTTCATTTCCCTTTCATAATATTGCAGCTTTCTCAATTGCATGAGGCAAAGAAAACCATGGAATGTAAGAGGTTTCATAAACAAAAGGAGAGGCTCAAAATAGACGAGAAGAACTATCCAATTTTATTAAAGTAGTTCTATGCTATTCAGTGTAGTTCTATTCAAGATTGGTAAGAATGCAGTTCAAAAATTTTCTGTCGATATTATTTTACCAGGGTTATCACAGAATGCTGTTACAGAGGAATAGGGAAACGTTACAGTAAGATTGCACAACCTGTTCCAATTGAACAGATGGCAAGCCCAATGCGCCTAAGATTCAAACGCACCTGATGAAACCCCTTCATAAAACGCACTACAAATGCTAATGAATTTATTCAGCAAAACAGGACTGATAATTCCACCGTTTGAAAATCGGGACAAACCAAGAAAAGAACGTACTCAAATCAAGACGCAGTAGCATGCAATAAAAAATACATTATATAAAAGGACATATTATCAACACTTCAAAGAGACTTGCCTCTACATGTCACTGATAAATTCACGGCAGGAGGGAATTTTACTCTGACTTTCAGCCATCTTGACTCTTCAGTTGCTGGCCTGATCTCACCGATATTGAGCTTATGAAATTACCGCCGATTTCAGGTATGTTCTTTGCATTAGAAGAGGGTTGGCAGGCGTTTCTTAGTTTTTAGTATCACGATAAACAGAGCAGTTAACTGAAGTACTGGCCGCATTTTTTAGCCTGTGCCTCAAGCTGAAACCGGTCGGAGGAAGAACCTTGCTCGGAATACAAAATGGATATCATACAAAACACCTTCCAGGGGCACTCGGGCCAAGATGTTAATCAAAATCCTTTTGTGCTCATTCTTGGGCTTGTTTACTTCATTCAACTGATCTCTAAACACTTGTATCTTCCGTTCGATATAAGTAGCAGGATATTTCACTCACTTGGGTACGTTTGTTTAAGTGTTGCCTAAGTACGCATATTTCTAAACGAATTATTGACAAACAATTGCGGAAAGCAAAGCAAAACAAAGAAAAAATTCAGCTATGTGAAAACACTGGCTTTAAACCCCCTGCCACTTTTACGCTTCTCTTCCTGTGAAATTGATTTGGAAAAAAAATGAGAATTGCTAACTAAGAGAGGACTGCATACTGTAATTGTGTACGTTTCCTGAAGGCTTGGAATAGCTAAATAAGGACAGGTCTGACTTTAAGTTCCGATAAGGAAAAAGAAAGAACGATCAGAACTTTTATCTTCTGAAAAGAAGATATCATATTTTTGTTTTTAAACGTAAAGCCAATGCTAAATTAGGATCGTCTCGGAGGAAGAGTTGCATGCATGTTTGCACGTTTAAGACGGTTATTACAAAAATTTTATGCATCCGAGCGTTTAGCAGGTACGTACTTAACTTCATTTTTGAGGGGAATACACACTTTATACCGACCCCAGGACCAGGACGAACGTGTTATTAAAGATCGAGAAATTAAGATATGTTCAGAGGTTCCGTAGTATCAGCTAAAAATTTAAAACCCTTGAGCCTTGAAAATCTTACCTGCATACCTTTAGGGACTAAGCACAAAGAGTAAAGGGGTAAGTTTCTAAAGAAACTGTGGTGCTGCGTCGGTGGGAGAGTATAGCAGGTAATTTAGTGTTAACAACTGGGTTGAAAACGTAAATTAGCCACCGTAAAGGGTAAAAAAGCTGACGTTTCGAGCGTTAGCCCTTCGTCAGAGCGATTAGATTGAATCAGCTTTTTTACCCTTTACGGTGGCTAATTTACGTTTTCAACCCAGTTGTTAACACTAAATTACCTGCTAAGCACAAAGAGCTTGGGGAAACTTCTCGGAAAGCAAACCCGAGACGCATTCGAGGGTTATTTTATTGATACCTTGAAAGAATTAGAGGCCCTTTTCTGAGTTGTTTCACTTTTTGGAAAGTACGAGTTCGGCATTGTTTGCTGTTTCGGAGATATCCTTGTTCCTGAAATTCCCTTATTTACGCAATGGTTTGCACTTATTCACACCGATTATCCCGAGAGGTAATTTTCGGCGTTTGTGAGGCACCGAAATCTTTCTTTATGATCCATCAAATCGCGCGCGGTTGGTCTAAACCCATCACGTGACCGAATGTCCCCAGCTAAAATTGGGGGATAACCGAGAATATCACCCCAGTGATATCCCCAAGTTTCAAACCTTACGTCCACTACGATAAGTCTTCGTTAAAAATTTCATTCAAGATGACAACGTTTAGTGGTTGTTTTTAGAAGAAGGGAAATATTTGTTTGTTCATAAAGTCGTACAAGAGAACACTTTGCAAAAAGAAAACATCTCACGCAGCAAACAGTAAGCTGTTCGTAAACATTTTGCGCGTTGAAAAATATTTAAAGGATGATAAACACAATAGCTTCTATTTTGCGCGAATACATGCTCATGTATTTGTCCTTGGACAAATACCTGTGCATATTTTCGCGCCAAATGGAGGCAATTGTTTCAGTGTAACTTACACAATGTTTTTAACCAAATTCTGGATTCTCTCAGTTCCGAGTCAGTCGCATTTACCAAAAAAAAAGATAAATTACTACTTAAATTTTTAATCCTAGATTGTTGTATCTGCGATGCTACATAAGAGGAATACGATCCCTGTCCTATGACTCCCTAGTAAAGCCGTCACCCAAAACTTCGTTTGGTCATGCGCACAATAGCTTTCCACGATTGGAGGTCAGCTTTGAATCGACATATCATCGCTTGCAACGTAGTTTTGCCTTTCGAAGACCATCGGTGAATACCGTTTTCATCCGAGGTTGATGTGCTACTCCAAGAGACTCGAAAGAGCTTTGATCTAACTGTTCAGTTTAAGACCCAATTCATGCGGGTTTAAAAATGACGCGCTTCTTTCCACTCTTAACGAGAACACCTTACAATTTTGGTATAATAGCAATGCATTTATCGAAAGCTATTTCCACCCGGCTTAAGAATTAAGACGATGAAATTTTAAAAATCACTTTTCACTTTGTCATGAAGATGTGGTTGATCATTCACTCACGAGGAGTACATCTGATAGCGCATGTAAGCTGTAAACCGGAGTATAGAGGGGTGATTGCAAATTTCTACCTTTTTTTCCAGATCTCAAATTATGTTAAATAGCTGTTAAATATTTAGGAAATGCAGGAAGAGGTTAGAAATATTTTTCATGAACACCAGCTGTAAGAACGAAATGGTGTCTATTCAAGTGTCTCTTTTATCTATAGAGGCTTTATTTTTGGCATATGCATTTGAATATCATTACACTGATGATTTATATCAACTTATTTCTTTAGACCCTTTGTTTGGCCTGCAGTAAGCCAGATTCGCTTCCTTTAAGAAAAAATATGATCTGCTTAAAACTTTGACTTTTTCATAAAGTTATGGACAACCCAGAAAGTGGTTTGTATCAATATACTTTACACCCATGGGGAGGTTAACAGGCCACACATGTACACTGTTGAAACGATGCAAGGTGAGTGTCGCAGATAAAGCATTTCTCCTTTAAACGAAGAATAACCAAATTGTTGGGAGGTGGCGGGTTAAACTTCACAAGAGGTGGAATTCAGAAGAAACATCTGAAGGAGAGACTGATATGCCACCACACTCAAGTAGTCTAAAAGAGAAAATAAATCAATGTTCTCCTGTATTCTATTTACATCGATGAAGCCGATATCGTTTTCTGTCTCTGCAATTCGGGGGAATCCTCTTATCCTTGATATCCCTCACAAGGAATCTTTCCTTCATTCTCTTATAAACTCCTACTTCGTTATTTGGTTACAACTTATTTCCTCGTTGGTGTCTTTATCCAGCCCCCTAACTGCTACTTATTGGTTTTCCCTTCTTTAAAGACCCAAATCTTTATCGATACGCAAATGATGCAGTTTGATTACAGCTACATCACTGGTCTTCAGTTTTGTCTGTGTTGAGGCTGACTGCTAGGAGTGAGGACAGACTTTGTATCCTTTTGTTTGGGCAAAGATACACAAACAAGTTGTAAACTTTAAGCGAACATATCAAATTGTGGTAGTATTTTAGGTTGAATCGTCCACGAATGTGCGGTTTTATCAAGTATATCAACGTATTACTTTTGCCTCTGACTATATTATTGTACCTCTGTGCTCGACAACTTCATTACATAGTCTACATAGAGATTTCCGTCGACCTCAGTCATCATCGTAATCGTGTGCAAGATCTTGTTCAGCAGCGATCAAACCAGCAGAATCTAATAAACATAAGTAGAGTTCAGTGGAATGCGGTTGCAATTGAAATTAGTTATCTGTTATATACCATATGGTCCAGAGACAGTTTTTGTGAGTAATTCTTCATCGTCGTATCTTCGAGGTTACCTGGGTCTTTTGTTTCCCTTAACTGACCCTAGACCCGTTTCTTAACTGCTGAAAGATAGTTGAAGTGAGACAGGTAGTGAAGGAAACAATCAGAGTGTTTTACTGTTCGTGGAAGTACAATTTCCTTCGCAGGTTGTATAGATGCGTCTACGAGAGAACAGGGCCAGAAGTGTAAGGAATTGAATTAGGGTAGACCTACTAGACTAGAGGGATACTAATTTAGCTACGAGTCTCAACTGTCATCAGTTGTGGGGGTCACAACTGATGGCAAACTCAGTTTCAACATTTGAAAGTTTAAACGCCAAAATATGTCGGAAAGTTAGTCAACAGATTGTGGCACAAAACAAGACGAAGAAAATGTTCCCTAATAGCAGTAAGTCAGTCATCTTTTGAAATTCGACCGGTCTAAGTCGGGGATTCTCACTCTGAATTTACCTCGTTGCACTTTCAGACCTACATTGTGGTTAAGGTGATTCCCTTGTTTAGCACTGCGCGACCTTTCCTGCGCATAACATTAATTGCGACATCCAAGATGGTGGCTGTTCTTCCCGCTAGCGTGGAAAGAACAGACAATGGCCGCTTTTGCAGAGCGAAATAAGAATGCCGCAAATCGGCTGAAAGCTTCCTGGTCTGCTTTCAAAAGACAAGAAAATGAAAAAAATGTGCGTGATCCGGAAGTCTGCAGTGGATTTCCACTTCGCGGCCGTCGAGTTGTAGAATTAAATGTCCTCGCTGAGGCTTTGGACGGGGGCTGTGAAGCCTGTGGGGCAGCTCTACGGCTCTCCGACTGCATAAAAGAAACAGTGACTGGGCTAGGATCACTACTCTACATATGCTGTTCAAATTCCGAGTGTGGAGAGACAAATATCTGTCGAACAAATAAGACCCACCGTAGCATCGGAACACCGCGAGGGAGACCAATCTTTGATGTCAACACGAAGTTCGCTGCAGGTTTGTTTACATTTAATATTGCCAAAAATATTGTTTTCCGCAATTAAAGCATTCATTTAACATCTAGCCAATTTTTTAATAAGTTGAATCGACTTATTTATAGGGATGCTACACGTAGGCATAGGTCCTACCCACGTAAACGAGTCGTTGTCATCTATCAATGTACCATCACTTGGAGAGTCCACGCTGAAGGCTCGCAAGAGGGAAGTAAGGCCCCAAATTGAAAAGTTGGCAAAGGAATCATGTCTGGAAAGTTTAGAAAGCGAAAGAAACTTGTGGAAAGAGGATAGTGAAAAGGAAAATGTGGCGATAGGAGCGTCATTTGACATGGGATGGCAAAAAAGGGGAAAAGCCCACAATAGCCTGACAGGTACACTGCAAGTTCTAAATCTGAAAGAATTGAAAAGGGTGCATTTGGATATGCATTTTCATAGAAAGCTGCTAATTTTTCTGTGGATTGTTCTTTAGCTTACTGACAGTTTTGGTGTCAGCCAATAGTCAAAGTTACTAAAATAAATACATAAATCATAAATAAATAAAATCATAAATAAATAAAATCATAAATAAATAAAATATATCCTTATTTCACCATTAGGTGTTGGCTCCATGGTTGGCCTGAAAACTGGCAAGGTGATTTGCTATGGTTCAAGGTCAAAAAGGTAATGTATATATTTTGTCTTCCTGTACCTTGTTGTAAACAACTAGAGCAATTTTTTTTTTCAATTTGACCACAAAAGGTACAGAATCATTCAACATATTACAGCACCCATATTTGTCTCCTCTTGAAAGTGTTACCCAGGACGTTTACCCATAATGTCTTTTGTAAAGGTGAGCAACATGTGAAACTGCCAGCAGACAGTCAAAAAAGCCTCACATACATGACTGCAGGCTCAACTGGGAAGGCTCATCAAAAGCTATGGAAGCTGATGTTTGTGTTAATCTAGTCAAAAGGTAATTACCAACCAGGTATGTAATAATAAAAATAAAAATTAAATAATAATTATAATAATAGTTGTTAACATGTTAAATTCACAGTTTTATTGTTCCAAAGAGAGACTTGTGGAATCTGTTGTTATGATATCAGTGTTACAGTATTGATACTTGAACCATGAACAGTGGAAAGTCTTACAGTACCTTACACCCTTGGTAATAATGATTGAAAATTTGACAAGAAAGCAAACATAAAAATGCACTTATATTTTTGAATATGAGTATGTTAAAAACGCAGAAAATAAAATACTTCAAGATAATGCCTATGTGTAGTTTGAACGCCCTCACTTTTTATAGCACAAAATGTTATTTTTGTGGTTTTACCCTGCTTAACAGTTGTGGAGAAAAAAATGCAGTTGTATTTGTTCTTGTTGGGGATGATAATTCATCCACAATAAGAAAAGTGAGGAAAAATGTTGAGCACAAGGTTGAAACGTGGTCAGACGTAGTCCATGCTAAAAGATCCTTTGGTAGCTCACTATACAGCATAAAGACCCAACACAAAAGCCTGACAGATATGGTGATATGGTATTTCCAGCAATGCTTTGGTTACGCACTAAAGCAGAATAAGGATGATGAAGAAGGTGTGTGAAGTGGTCTGAAGTCTATTGCGCCCCATGCTTATGGTGACCATTCTTCCTGTGGCAACTGGTGTGGCTACTTAAAAAATCCTGCATCCTACAAACACAGAGGCCTTCCCCATGGCAAGGATCTGACAGGCAGTCCCTGGAAAAGATCATAGAAGTAAGTACAGTGTACATGTATGGTGGCACAGCTTGCTCCTCACAAATTCCCAATTCCCACCATTTTACATATAGTAGAGGAACACAACTCTAAGAAAATAGTGTTAGTGCTTATGATTGTATTCTAAATAATAACTGCAAGGGATAAAGCTATAAGTGTTAGGGGGACTATCAACCTCTTTCTTAGTTTCACAAGCTTTATGAGATACCAAATTTTAGTAAATAAAAACCATTTGCTTCTTCAATTTAGGTTTATGCTTCAAATGCCAAGAAGCTAGCTCCCCTTGGGTCGAGCCAGGCAAGTGAAGCACTCAACAACACTATAGGAAGCAAAGCTCCAAAGATCAGACACTACAGATCTAGTGAAAGCAATGACTTCCATGTTGCATGTGCTGTTGGCCAAAAGAACTTTGAAAGAGAAACAGAAAACAAGAGAATACAAGAAGAAAAGAATTGAGAAGAAAGAGAAGCGGTTGAAAAAGACAAAACAGCTTGAGAACAAAGAAGGACAACGATATAGTTCTGGAATGGGCTTCGATGGACATGATGCCGCTCAGGAAATTCCAGCACCACTTGCAGCCTCAAAGATTGAGAAAATATCATTAACCAAAGACTACCATCAAATCATATTTGATTTGGAAACATCTGGAAGGGGTAATAGCTTTGCAGGGTGGAGTTCAGCAAAAAAGTAACAAAGTGAATATAGCCATGTTTGTCTTAGCAGGGTATTTTGAATTGCACATTAGAGAATAATTATATTTAATCAAGGAATTGATTTTCTATTTTGCTAGATTGCTGAAGACTCATCCTGCTAATTTGCATCACATAGATTCCTTTGTTTTATTATACCTTGTTCTTAAAGAAAATGGGTGAGATGCAAATTAGCAGGACAGGTATTCAGTAATCACTCCTATTTTTATTTTAGATATAACCTGCATAGATGCACTAAGCTTTTTTATTACATTTTTCCTTGTGATATCTTTGTAAAGTAATAATTGGATTACAATATCTTAAAATTTGTTTATCTTTGTTAACATCAGGTAATGATGCTGAAATCCTACAAATTGCAGCAACAGATGGTAAAGATGATTTCTATATTTATGTCAAGCCTTGTCATGTAATATCACCAGAAGCATCTGCTGTGAATAAACTCACCTTCCAAAGAGGAATGCTGTTTCATGATGAGAAGCCAATCTCTGATGCCATTGCAATTGATGTGGCCCTGAAGAACTTCATTGAGTGGTTCAAATCAAGAATGCCTTGCATTTTAGTCGCACACAATTGCAAATCCTTTGATGCAGGGTTCTTGGTGCAAGCAGCAGAGAAAAATGGAGTCATGGATGACTTAGCTAAAACCGTTTCTGGCTTTGCAGACTCTCTTCCAGTATTCAGGGAATTGCTTCCTGAAAGGAAATCCCATAGCCAGGAAAACCTTGCACAAGATCTTCTGCGTAAATCCTATGAAGCTCACAATGCTCTTGCAGATGTGCAAACACTACCAGCTGGTGAACAAGTTTCTAAATGTCAAACTGCTACAAAAGCACAGCTTCAAAGTTTCATGGGTGGCATCCTATCAGAAGCTCCTAAAAGAAAAGAAACTTCTGGTTAATACACTGCAGCCATTAGTTAGAGAGAAGTACATTTCAGCTTCTATGGCCATTAAGTGTGCAAGCTCAGGTTTGGGTCTCCATCACCTACAAGTGGTGTACCAAAGAGGCAAGGAAGAAGGGGTGAATCAAGTTCTGATGGAGAGGTTTGACAACAAACCCGGAGTCTCCTCAAACAAGCAGGTGCTGGCACAAATATGTCAGTACTTTATAAATAAAGCAAATTAAGATTGCGATTTGTGCAATTAATGTTTTGTAAAACTAATATTTACTCTGTTGGTTTGGTTGTAAACAAAAATGCAAACAGTAATTCTGAAAGGGTCTATATTAATATTAAATTCAATTCGATTCTGTGGAACCAACGACCAAGAGGATTAACTTAATTTAGTGACATGTTGAAGCATGAAAGTCGAACAAAATGTAAAAAGTTTGAAAATCATTTTTGCATGGGAAATGTAGTAGTCACAATGAGGACCAATGAGACATTGAAGTGTGGTTCTGAAGTATAAAAGCAAATTTTAAAAGTACAATTTGTATTTTTCAGAGTATACTACATTATACTGTATATATTCACTCCTGTTAGAGTGATGGGAGAAGAATTCACATTTTGCTGTGCGTAGAAACCAAACAAGAAGACATAAAAAGAATAGGAATCAACAGTCTTTTCTTCAAGTTTCTTTGTCGAGCCTTTATTGCCCCAAAGCCAACAAAATCGAACCTTAGCTCACTGGAATTAACAAAACGCCAGCGCAACAAAATTGTTTCAACTAAAGGTTCATAACTTCAAAATCTCATCAAGTCTTGACTTACCTCATTCTTTATTATTTTTTTACTCTTCCCAAGTATGAATTTCAGTGTTAGCAAGATCAAACACATAAAAACAACCGAAAGCAAGCTTGATATCAAGTGCATACCTCGAACACGATGGGCGCCATTTTGTGTCTCGTCCCAGTCCTCACCGCGCAAATTCTCCATCCTGACTGCGTTCTCAAAACCATGTCCACCTTTCACGGCAGTTTGAGAGGGAACAAGCACGGTGACACCCGACTTTTTTTTCAGGTATTTGCTAAGAACATTCTAATAAAGAACATATTTGAATAGGGAAAGATGTTGATAGTAGAACATGATTTTTTTTGAAAATAGTTCCGTACTTGGCGTATTTTGACAAAGGCGAGGACTTCAAGCTAACCACGGAACTGTCCGAGAAAGTGCAAAATCCCCACAACCAGGCAATCAGAAACAGGTAACATGAAGCAATACTTTTTATCTTAATAAAAGAAGCTTTAATTTCAAAATAAAATTTTGTGTCCTTCAAGTTACCAAGGCTAAATTCTGTATGAAGGTGATTCGAATTTTTAACGCGCAACCAGTAAAAATACCCCATCTTAAGAACCTGCTGACGCGTAAACAAGCACGGTGACCCCATTTTTTTATTGCATTTTTTTAATGTTTATATCACGAGTGTTAATTATACCAAGTTTCAAAAGAAGTTGATGATAGAACAATTTCAAGGGAATTACCCTTACACATTTTACCATTACCAAACAAGGATATCAGTATTTTAAATTTATGTCATCTTAATCCGTGAATGATCCGGCTCGTCAATACAAGGCTTGCACCTCTACAATAACCTGTACAAAACAGTCTCTTACAGATTTCCTGTACTACATAAAGCTGTCTGGTAACCCGTGGTCGATTTGGCTGGGAGTCATTTCTGGCTAGTTTACGGACGCAAATTACCCGCAAACTAAGGTTATATTGCCATTTTCCATCTTTAAAATATTCCCGGTATTATGCCGTGTTCTAAAAGAAAAATGTGATAACGCACTGAATATTCCGAAAAAAAAGTTTGGAAATAATTTTGACGAGACATTTAAAAATCTAATTTGTAAAAATTTTAAAAAACTTAAAAAAAAATCTGATGCTGCGTTAAAAAAAATTTGACGCTGGCAGTAAATACGAAAATATAAACATTAAAAATATTATTTTATCTATAACAACGTACGCAGATGTAATTTTTTTCCGCATTTAGATTGTCACGTTTCGAAACTCAGCCTGAAATCTGTTTAATTTGAAATTTTTCGTCACGCTTTTAAAAACTAAACGTCAAAATGATTTGTTATGATCCCTTAGGATGTGCTCTAAAATTTCGTTTTCCAAGTTTTTAAAAATTACAAGAGAACGTGAGAATCCAAGTGCAATCAAAATCTGACTGAAAAGGAAAAAAAAACTTGAAACAACTTTAACTGATCAATATATTTAAACCAATAAAGCAAAATGTCCTAAAGAAAAAATTCTCGAACGTATATTTTAAAGTAATCAAAAAGCACATATTGCTATTTATTTTTCAGTAATAGGCAGATAAATATCCAGGTTCTTCGTTACCTGAAAAAAAAAGACGTCTTTATAAATCATGATCCATTTGATCACTTTAAAAGTCTAAAAATAATCAATAAGGCATCCACTTTCTATGCCTTTACTTTCGCTGCTCTCAATTCAAGCCGGAAGTTGCGGGAGCTCGAATGCTTACGCAAATCAACACAACAGAACAACTAAGACGTCCGGAACTCTTACGTTAGAACTGACCAATAACCCCTGAAATGCCAAGATCACCGTCAAATCCTACAGCGGTTTTGAAGGGGAATCGGATCACTAATTTATATCAGTAAAAAGTAAAAAGTGCACACACAAATCGAAGAAACCTCCCTGCTCTACGAAGAATTATGAATCCCCGCAATCATTGTTACGACGTAACAAAAAAGTGGAATGTGTTTACTTTTGATATTGTGGTGGGTTGTTGAACAGTCTAGTGATCTGACAAGATTGATGAGTGAAACTGAAATTTCAAATCGCTGGATATGGTGTACACATTAAAGTCAAACTAAAAAAGGGTACATTATCTTTTTTCCCGAAATAAAGCTTCATAGAAACTGAAAGAAAAATTATGTGACAAAACGCATGAGGATCGAGGCGGATACAAGGTAAATAAAAGGATCGAGGCGGATATTAGGTAAATAAAATACGGCAGATCATTCTATCGATCGAAGTTAAAGAGTTGGAACGTTTTAGGCTCAGCATTTTGCAAGGGAAATCACTAAATTAGCTGTGATAAATGAATTTATGGCTGCTGTAAACGCTCAGGTAAAAGGTACAATTGAAACTTCAAAAGATTTGGAAGCTGGGGAAAGCGAAGGAGAAAATGAACTGAAGAGAGAAAATGCTACACAGAGTGGCCTAAATTTTTTGAAGAAATACTTCAAGCTCGAAAGTTTTAAAAGGACTTTCAACCCAGTGATTCAAAACAATACTATAACTCTCAGAAACGTTGTTGTCGCTGCTTCAACCTACGGTCTGGAAAGACTTTTGAACGCCGGAGTATTCCACTGTCCTGACAATGGCTATCGACGGTATGGATTCGCGTTCCTATTCGGCCCTGTTCTAATCCTGTTCTGCATAAACCTCTTGGTCATCGGCGAGGTATGGAAGCTGTCTTCCCGGAGGCACGTGAAACGCTACAGAAGACGTGGCGACTTTACCGCTGGGGTTTTACCAAGTATCCTAAAAGCCTGTGTCGGACCGGCAGTGTGGTTGATTGTCGCCTTTCTCGAAGAAGATTATTATCTGTGTGCCACGATTGGCCCCTCTCCACAGAAAGAGATGAAGCAACACGAAAACGTCGTTTTGGACCGAAAGCAGATGGTAGACGAGAGTAAGAGCCAATCACATTTATGGGCATGGGTCATACTGATCACGCTTGTTGCTATCGGAACTGCAATGATAGTCTGGAAGTGTTGTTACCTTAAAGACAATCTCCTCATGGAAAGTAAGTTGCTTCTGTGTAAAAAATTGACAAGCTCTATTTCCAAGAAAACTGATATACTTCCTTTTCTTCTGCAGATCTCTATTCGTATGAAAGAAGAGAGGCCCTGAGCGCGCAGATGACGTTTAAAAAACGTATGAACGGGGAGAAGGCGTTTGAAGAACGGATGGAAGGTCTTGGAAAAGACCCTGACCTCGACGAAGTTCCGAGAGTGACTAAACACGGTAAAAAAGATCATGAAAAAGTTACTCTTTATAAAGATGGAATTCCAGAAAATATAGGAAAGAAAAATGTGGAGGAAATGTTTAAAGGTAAGGAAATAGTTAACTCTTAAACGAAGTGCTTTAAATTGCTTTTTGGTGTGTTTTTTATGAGGGACATAACCGGCTAACTTGTCGTCAAAGCTATTTCGAGTGACAAGCAGGGAAAATTAAAATCTCTTGGTATACCGTTTTCAGTTTGATTTCTCTGAAGCTGAAAGAAGCATTCACCCTTTTTACTTCATTCATTTTAAAGTTCTCTGGACACGCCTTGTTCTTAAACAAAATCCTGTCACAGAGGCAAAAACATTTGCAAAACTTGACTGCTCATGTCAGACGAACCAAATTATCTCTAAGTACATCCTGGCCCAAAGGTGCCTCAAAATGCTTTCAGAATTTCCGACAAAGAAATGTGTGATGAATGGTAAAACCTATCTTTTTTTCGTTTGTTACCTGAGAAATAGTATTAAAAAATGCTTAAAATAAGTTCTTGAGCTGTGATCAATTTTTTCTTTGACAAATAATGTGATCCTCTTTCTATCACAAAATTACACATACCGGTCAGAGCCACCTTAATTCTTATAATGATTCAGGTGGTTCTGACCCGTATGTAAAGAGTTTAATAGACGTTTGACAACCCAAATAATTCATTTGAAATTGGTGAGTATTCGTTTCACGTGCCAAAATTAAATCAACATGAGAAAACAAACCTAAGCGATCCAAGACTCTTTATGTGAAGGTTTTTCACCTAAGGAATGGAATGGCAATTGCCTCGTCTTGCCTCATGCTAACTACGGCCCTGGGTTCATAAGTTGTGATCATTTTTTCTTTGACAAATAATGTGATCCTCTTTTTATCGCAAAATTACACATACGGGTCAGAGCCACCTTAATTCTTATAATGATTCAGGTGGTTCTGACTCGTATATAAAGAGTTTTTTTAAAACTCCTGGAAAGTTGAAATCGCGCCGCAATAGGCTACAAATGGTTTCACCGTTGCACAAACGTTTGTTGACAACTTGTCATTTGTCACTTCTCTCAGGTTACAAAGTTGGCGAAAGCAGCGATAAATGGCACTACAAATTGCCTTACGATGCCTTTAGGAAAAAGTACCCTCGTATTTCCACAGGATGTCCTCGCGATCCTTGGGTAGCGGTACAGAAAAATGTTCTCGACTCAAGAACCCAGAAGAAAAAAAAGAAGCATTTCTCGACCGATTCCGCAGAAAATGAAGTCTAACAAGCTTCACAAAGAGGCGATGTTCAGGCAGAGGAAAAGTAAATATCTTAACAGATAGATTAACCTATTTTGTTTTACATATTTTATCACTTTTACGCTGAAAAATTTCATATTTTTCCGTCAGAGAAAACAATACAAAATTTCGACCCAAAGGTAAAAAAGATCCACATCAGTTAAAATGTAAATAGAAAAATGGTCTCTCCCCCCAAATAATTTGCGGAACCTCTGGAAATATAGTCCATAATTTATAACCGAAAAGTCTGCATCTGAGCAGAAAATATTTCTTTGTTTCTTGATGGAAAAGTTGAAAAAGATAAAAATGGTTTACTTGGCTAACAAGTTAAGATAAAAAGATGGTAGAAGCTAATCGATTAGGGACGCCAAGTTATACCCGATTTTAACTACCACAGATGCAATTTTTCGGTTGTGAGACTTCTACGTGCAAATTTCGCTGTTAGTTATTTCTTCAATTTACCTCTCGTTGGGGCACAGTGTAACATTTTATGGCATCGTTATTAAGTTTTGCTACAAGTACAAAAAAAAATCTCGTATTTGAACTTATGAAGACAGTCCCTTAGACTTAAATTGATTAGCGAGTAACGACAACGTATTTCCAATGAGTATTGTATTGAATGAAGATAACATGCATATCTGTTAGTATTTTTTTCCAGACTTTGTGCAATTTTTAAGTTATGCTTTAATCTTCTACTTCAGTGAAATTATAATTATCACTATGATTATAATTATGATATAATTATAATTATTATAATTATCATGAAACATACCTGACAAAAAATGCACATTTGTCGTGACTCGTACATAATTGTATCACAAGCGTCATGGTGGATTTTGTTTCTGTGTTGAAGTGTTTAGTTCCTCTGTACTCTATTCTTTCTTTCACTCCAAAAAATACCTTACTTAGAGCTATCCCTGCGATGAGTTCCTGTTTTCTTAGAGCTCTTAATTCTTCTTAGTTTAACCCTTTAACTCCCGTGAGTGACCAAGACAGAATTTCTCCTCACTATAACTATACAATATCATGCATACAAGTGATGAGAATA